CTCTTGTCTTTGGTGATCTGGTCACCCTAGGTGATACATACCTAGAGAGAGAGTCAGCTGGTCTTTTAATGAAGAGCAGCATAGTTATGTGAGGGTGGAGATCAACTACTGCACTCATATGAGCTTGATTAACTGACAGGAAGAAAAGAGCAGCTGCATGGATTTTAAGGACCTTATTCCACACCAGCCAATAAATGGAATAATATTAACACCAGCCTCAGAATAAAATATTCCAGAAGGCTAATAAAAAGGGGATGTGGAGACTGAAGTGAAAACAGCAGGTTCCAATATAAAATAATGTACTTTCATGGATAAATGGGTAACAATTTCAAGAAGCAACAGAATAGGAGTATAAAAGGTATAATACATCTCCATTAAAGTCATTAACATAAATATGGCCCACAAAATTATTATGACTTAAATGGCATAGTAACAACGTATAAAGTCTTTATGAACTTTCTCTCATGTTTTTACAATATATACTTTACAATATATACTATTAATTAAATCTTATTTCAAGTTTCCCTTCTTTTTTAAGGAGGGTACAAGTAGAACATGCTCTTTGGTGTCTGGATCATGTCTTCCTATGTGTCTAGACCAGGGGTCAGCAACGTTTGGCACGCGGCTCGCCAGGGTAAACACCCCGGCGGGCCGGGCCAGTTTATTTACCTGTTGACATGGCAGGTTCAGCCGATCGTGGCCCCCACTTGCCGTGGTTCGTGGTGCTTACCCTGGTGAGCCGTGTGCCAAACGTTGCCGACCCCTGGTCTAGACAGTATACAGCATAATGGAGTCCCAGTCCTGATGAAGGCTTCTAGCCAAGATTTTGAAATCCTGCTTGTGATTTTTCCCTAAAGAGATCTGATTTTCAGAAAACTTCAGGCACAAATTACTAGGAGTCTCAGTCTGGACACTCAAAAATTGAGACATGCAAAATCAGTACATACACAAAGGCCACTGTATTTAGCATAAAGCAAGAGAGGGTCCTGTGGCATCTTTAAGACTAACAGAAGTATTGGGAGCATAAGCTTTCGTGGGTAAGAACCTTACTTCTTGTCTTGCATCTGAAGAAGTGAGGTTCTTACCCACGAAAGCTTATGCTCCCAATACTTCTGTTAGTCTTAAAGATGCCACAGGACCCTCTCTTGCTTTATGCTAAATACAGTGGCCTTTGTGTATGTACTGATTTTGCATGTCTCAATTTTTGAGTGTCCAGACTAAAAAGTAAGAATCAGTTACTTAGGGCTGGTCTACATGGAAGCA